CCCCCCCCAGCCTGAGGTACCACCACCTGAACCCCGAGTACATCCATGAGCGGCTGCGGCGCCTGGGCCAGAGCTTCGCGCTGCAGGTGCTGCTGCTGCAGGTGGACGTGGTGAGAGAGAGAGCCCTGGCTCCCCCCTGGGCTTCGCACTGGCCCCTTGGCACCTCCCTGGCCTTGTCCTGGTCCCTTGTCACCCCCCTGGCCTTTGCAGTGTCTCCTTGGCGCTGTCCCATGTCACCTCCCTGGCCTTGTCCTGGTCCCCTGTCACCTCCCTGGCCTTTACACTGTCCCCTTGGCACCCCCCTGGCCTTGACACTGTCCCCTTGTCATCTCCTTGGGCTTGGCACTGACCCCTTGTCATTTCCCTGGCCTTGGCACTGGTCCTTGTCACCTCCCTGGCCTTGTCCTGGCCTCTTGTCACCTTCCTGAGCTTGGCATTGCCCCTTGTCACCTCCCTGACCTTAGCACTGCCCCTGTCACCTTCCTGGGCTTGTCCTGTCCCTGCCCATGTCCCCTGTTCCTGATCTAGGGACACTGGGGTCCCCTGCCCCCCTGTCCCTGTCCCCTGTCCCTGTCCCAACATCCATGGCTGTTGTGTCCCCTGTCCCTGTCCCCATCCTTGTCCCCCCTGTCCCCAACTCCTGTCCCTGTCCCCACTGTCCCCACCCCTGTCCCTACCCATGTCCCCACTGTCCCCAACCCCTGTCCCTGTCCCCACTGTCCTCACCTTTGTCCCCACTGTCCCAACCCCTGTCCCTGTTCCTGTCCCCACCCTTGTCCCCACTGTCCCCAACCCCTGTCCTTTTCCCCACTGTCCCCACTTTGTCCCTGCTGTCCCCAACCCTTGTCCCTGTCCCCACTGTCCCTACCCATGTCCCCACTGTCCCCAACCCCTGTCCTTTGTCCCCACTGTCCCCACTTTGTCCCTGCTGTCCCCAACCCCTGTCCTTTGTCCTCCCTGTCCCTACCCTTGTCCCCACTGTCCCCAACCCTTGTCCCTGTCCCCACTGTCCCCACTTTGTCCCTGCTGTCCCCAACCCCTTGTCCTTGTCCCCCCCTTGTCCCTGTCCCCAGATGACCGACTGCCTGACCAACGTCAAGTCCGTGAACAAGACGGACGTGCTGAGTCTCCTCAGCGCTTTTGGGGTGAGTGACCCCCCCCCTAGGGGATGTGCCACCCCCCCTTGGAGACGTGCCACCCCCCCGGCGTGTCCCCAAGGCCCTGACCCCCCCCATGTCCCCCCCCGCAGTCGCTGGCGGGCGTGGTGGGCGCGGCCCGGGGGGATCTGTCCCTCTGTCCCGGCGTGGGACCCCAGAAGGTGAGGGAGGGACAGAGGGGACACGGGGGGGAGGGGGTCACAGGGACATGGGGAAGGACAGAAGGGACATTGGGGGATGTGGGAGGGTCACAGGGACATGGGGGGGACAGAAGGGACATTGGGGGATG